GGTCCTTGATTCACTAAAAAACCTACTTACTGATATTTACCAGCAACATTTTCATGTGATGATATAAAACCATGAATATGTGCTTTTGTGGATAAAAATCACTGCATATGTAAATGTCAGCCTGAAGTGCTTGGCTGTGCTTGCAGTAAGAATGTTTGCATTTTCATGCCCGGTGCTGTCATGGTGAGTCAGCTTGTGCAACCACCTCTCCTCCTGTTGGCTCAGCACCACATTCACAGAGTGCCATTCTTGTAATCTGGGCTAATTACCTCACAGGTGCCTGCACCCTGCTGGTTGCTGTGTGTTGCCCTGTTTATCTGCTGTTGCTCACATAGCTTTGTTTACTGTAAACATGCTTCCAAGTATTGCTCTTCAGAGAGCTACTATTATTTTTGTCATTACAAATGTAACACTACTGCGACACTATACAGCCATGTCAGCTTGACCGTGAACTGTCATTTAGATGGATGTGTTTCCTGTGTGCTATCAAATCTTTTGACAGATTTTTAAAACTGTCTTTGAATTTGCCAGCACAGTGTCTACAAATTGGGATCTGGTTAGTGGAAAAACACAGTTACACACTCGTACACTTTGTAAACGAGACCTAATTAAATATGGAAGTTTTTGATAAATGGTGCTTTTGGAGAATCATCCATCTTCATATCTCATACCATGCACCAGTTTTTTGGAGATTAAATCAACAGTACATACAGAAGCCTTCGATCCAGATGCTTCCCTCTGGTGTCACATAATGCTGCATCATAAAACTGTAGAAGTAGAGGTATTTATTCAGGCTATGGAATGACTTCGATTAGAAGACAGGCCTATGTGTTTCATGTATAGATTGTGTTGACATATACAGTAAATACATCAAGTCTATCAAAAGGTTTCAGTGCTGCCGTGTGGAGATTTGTGTATAACATAACAATCTGCAGCCAGCTATGACTCTCAGTGCTGTCTTAATGGGCCAGCTAGTGTGGTTAGCTTCTAAGTAGCTGATCTGAACAGTGATTACACCACCTCCCTCTCCCTCTCCATCTCTGTCTCTCTGTGCCGCCTGCACTTGTACCCCTTCAGCTTGAGGATAAGTGGCTGTAATTAGTTTTTTTTTCCCTGCCTGGCTTTAGCCTTGGAGATGGCCATTGATCACTGGCCTGTTAGCGATCAGCCGTGTTAATAAAATAACATGCACGGAGACATTCGAGATTTGAATTTATTTTATTGCTCCCCAAGGAGAAACTTGGTTTGGGCATCATTTCTCCACGAGAAATAATAAAACACAAAACAATCTGTGTACCTTATATTACACATGGAGTGTTTGTTGGCCATAAGTGCATATTTATTAATTTTTTTGTACCTGTTGCTTAGACTACTTTTTATCAAAAACACAAGTGCACACAATAGTTTAAGTTGGTCCTCACCACAACTTGGTTGTCATATGAATCAAGATATCTCTTGTCACCTTCTGTGTAAATGTGTGTTTATCTTTTTTGTTACCTCTAGCAGCTTAGCTAGATCTCTGATGTAAACAGTAGTTTCATTTTTGTCAGTTACAGTAATATAAGGAAGTAGAGCTTCAAGTCTTAAAAGAGACCTGCCAGTGTTTTTATGGTTTACATTGTTATCTAATACATGTTCATATGGGAAAATATACAGGAGAAATGGTGTTAACTGAAGTGAAGCTCCATGTACATGTGGCAGTGTGGGACTAGCGGTTTTTATAAAATTTGATATAAAAAAAAAAAATCACAATATATCACCTTATTTACAGTATCGCAATACATTGCAATATATTGGATCGTAACTCCTCTATTGTGATATGTAGCCCTAGTCTGTTTGAAGGGCGCTAACCTCTCATGGCCTGACAAAGGGTTTTGTTTGATTGACTTTGATATTTACCACTGAATAAACACACGTGGATGCAGTAGGTATGTTTGTATACGTTTGCATATACAGTGAATGTGACAGGTGGAGAGTTTACTATGTGTTTACTGAGCAACAAACGGAGGCTTCTTCTAGTGTGGCTCTCTTTCTATTGGCTTTTTAATGTGGAAGTGGAAAACATGCACATTTTGTAGGTCATAGGCCCAGGACTCATTGGAAATGTACATGTACACACAACCTACTTCCCTCCTCATGCCTGACCTTAACACTTGAAGCAGGGCAGAATGAATTAAAATGTACGAGCTCCTGTCATAATAAATATTGGTGAAAAAAAATCATCTGACTGTATATTTTTCTGAACAGCGAGAGCTGTGAAGTTGTATAATAAACACAGCACAACAAGTCTTTCAATGAACCTCCCCCAGCCTTGATAATTAGACCAAAGTTTATTTGCTCTATGCTGATATCCCATAATACCTTGTGCCCAGACAGGTTCCGGTGCAGAGAATAGTGGATATATCTATGAGAAAAACCACATGTTGTCAGGCATAAATATAAATATAGGGGACATTTCTGTACTGCTCCAGGCTGTAGAAATGAATTTGCACTGAAGTTCACATTGACCAAAGAGCTCACGTGCATTCTGAATAATCTTATTATGCCATAAACACTATGGTCTTTGAGTCATATCCAAGCCTGATATCCTCACTTGTGCTCCAACCGGAACCTGCCAGACGGGCATGGCGCTGGGACCTCCTGAATAGCTTTCCTCTGTTCAAACTAAGAGACCAAACAAAAGACAGTTACTCCTAATGTCCAGCCCCCTATATGCACCAGTGAAGTACAAGTATGTCTGGCCCAGGGTGGCCACACCCTTTCTTCTCTCCATACTGTCCCTTTGTGTAGTGTCAAGTTTCTTCCCTGCACTGAAAACCTGCCCGGTACCAAAGATGTCATTGGTTGTCTGTGGATGGCAGGACATCCATGATAGGTCGGAGATGCTCTCCACTGGTTTTGGGGTATTGGACATCCATGATAGGTCGGCGATGCTCTCCACTGGTTTTGGGGTATTGATGACTGGCAGAGGGCTTGGCACAGTGCCAGATGGTTGCCCCAAAGAGCAGATATCGATTAGAACAGACTGAATGTTGCACCGGTTTTGATCTCAAGTTTAGATAGAAAGTCAAGGATTTTTTTGGTTCAGTGATTTTGAAGAGTTTCCCATGCAGAACCTGTTTTAACTCAGAGATCTGATTTATCTTACTTTACCAGGTTTATCTTTCACACATCTTCACAGAAAAAGCTCATGCTGCATGCCGTGTCTAATTGTACCAACAGCTTTGCCAGTTTTAGATTGAAAAGTTAAGCTTACAAGTGCTTACAGTAAATAAAATATATAAACAGGATGCTGGCAGTGTCTGATCACAGCACACTACATTCCAGTTACATATCAAGGCTTTAAAGCTGGCAAAGATTTTGATTGCAGATGTTCATGTTACACTAGTGTTGTGTGGAAGGGTTGGACTACTATTTGTGCGTAAGCTGCTGTTTTGTTTGCTTGTTTTGGATACATAATCAGATTGCACTAATGCTGTGGTTTTTGCATGTCAACCATGTTGATGCAGGGACATTGCTTTTCCCATGTTTGCTCTGTGTATACAGCCCTGTAATACCTCACTGGATTACATAGATAAAGTAGAGTAGATGTTGCAGATTAAACAACACATAAGCAATGTAACTGAAACAGCTGTAGATATTTTATGTCAAGGACTTTGATTTTACAGTATAGGCATATGGATGCTAAACTGAGCAAGCGAGTGTGGCTGCACAACATTGGAAGGGCTCACACCTGTGACGTTTTTGTTTTAGAATGTAATGTCTCACCTTATGTGTTTGTGTAGATTGTGACCAACTTTTTATGCCTTAGCATCACACACAACTTTGCTTTGTCAGTAGACGACGCACACATTACACTATCAGCCTTGCATTTACAATAAGCAACATATAATGTTACTCCAAGTACATACTCACTATCACACACACAGTAAGTCTGTATGTGTGTCAGCAAATGCCTGCTGCAAAACTCATGTTGCACAAAGATTGTTTTGTATTCTCCTGCCGTGTTTCGTCAGCCTACCCATATGTGCTTGTCAGATTTTTTTTTTTTTTTGTGCTTATGTAGAGAATGTGTGAAAGAGTATGTGCAGGGTTTCCCTGAGAATGATGTTTGTGCAAAGAGTTTGTCAATGAGGTATCCTGTTCACTTTCCACAGCACAGACTGTTACTCTGATGATCTCAGGCTCTCTAAATCTCAGGTGCGATTTATGTTTCTGCTGCTTTGATAATGATCTTATCCAGTGTGTACGACTATAAAACGGACATGTTTGTCATCTTTACAAACACCTACTACCAGTAATGTTGAGTGCAACAGTCAAGGCTACAGTGCTCAGCCAGCTGATGTAGTCAAGTGTTCCTTGGTTTCATTTGGATCAGAGGGGATGGGGCGGTGATTAAAGGATATAACAAAAACTCTTGGACTTAGAATCTATTGTATGATTTTACTACAAACAAATATTCTGAGAGGAAAGCTATGGGGATTTTTTTGTCTTATTCTTTAACTTGATACCTCTCTGGACTTTTAGCCATGCTGAGGTTTTCCAGCAACAACACTGCACTGTAATAAGAATTCCATTTTTTCCTGCCAAGTTGAACTCAACAGCCCTCAGAGACAAATTTATTGTAGGGCTCAAAATCTTCACAGTGCAGACATGCACATACTGTAGTTGCACATGTTGTACACAGACACATTTTGAGTCTAAAATGGCATAAGGAAGTGTTCCATTGTATGTATTTAATTTTTTAACTGAGCATGTGAGCAAAGTGTGTGTGTGTGTGTGTGTGTGTGTGTGTGTGTGTGGTTGAGTTATCCTGTCACAACTATAGCTAATAGAATATGTTTGTAGTTCTGTGGTAAACCTTCTTCTTTGCAGTCAGTTGGTGATTTGAGAATTTTGAGTCTTATGAGTCTAGAAACGTGCAATGTAAATCTTTATTGTGCCTTATTCTAACCAGGCTTTGTCTTTTTGTTCTTGTCTTCTATGTTCTTTTCTTTCAGTGGACGTGAGCACAGCAGCACTGCCCACGCAGGTGCCCCCCACCACCACAGCCATCCTTCCCATGGACCTGAGCGTAGTGGACCATTCTCACCACCACCACCACCACCAGCAGCAGCTTCCCTTTGGCCTGATTCCCCAACCTCACCCAACACCACCTGCCTCTATCGAACCAGGCTGTGGCCCAAACATTGGTAAGTGGGGATGATCGTAGGTTGTCATGTCTTGTGGCTCATTGTTATATTCTAAGTGTTAACTTACAAGCACATTGCTCCCTCCAGTTGCTTCTGATAAACTCTTTCTAACCTCCTGCAGGCCACCAGGAGCAGCAACTGCAGCAGGAACTGGTGGCGCTCAAACACAAGCAGCAGCTCCAGAGGCAGCTGCTGATCGCAGAGTTCCAGAGGCAGCATGAACAGCTGTCACGACAACATGAAGTCCAGCTGCAGGAACATATCAAGGTGAGGCGGATGAGATGGGGTGGGTAAAGAGATCTAGCTCCTCTCTTCCTGTCTCAGTGTTGATTGATTCGGAGTTCTTCCTTGGATACAACCATTGTAAGACTGTACTCAGCAGAACTGCATCTTGTAAAGGACAAGAAGAAGCATGTGCATGTGTACACTTGAAAGAGTATGGTGTTGTGATTTGATCTTGTGGCAGTATTTTGCTGCTTCGGCATCTTCATTGAAAGACCATTGGCCCCAATTTTGTATATGATTCACTGTCACTGTTACAACCACAACATCATTCAAAGTGAAAATAACCTGAAATAATCCTCCGATCTGCTCAGTCTCCAAGTTAGCATGGCCCTCGTTATTAGATTCAAGCCCGGAGATGTGGTGTTTTTTTTTAAAAAGCTTGCTTTCAAGTCATTGTTTTGCCAAGGTACAGCTGTTTGCTCAGGTTTGATATTTTTGCCACCCTCTTTAGTGTCCTTTACCCATCTCGTGTATGTCCCTGCATTTTTTTTTCTTCAATATCCATTCTGATTCTCCAGCAGCAAAAGGAGTTACTAGCACTCAAACACCAACAGGAACTACTGGAGCATCAGAGGAAGATGGAGCAGCAACGTCATGAGCAGCACCTGGAGAAGCAGCAGCGGGAACACAAACTCCAACAGCTTAAAAACAAGGAGAGGGGACAAGAGAGTAAGTACAGCTGTAGTAGCAAAGTGTGTCATAGAGTTAGAGCTGGACTGCAACTGAATACTGAATGTAGTTATTATTACCAGTTGTGGATTTGCAGTGGTTCAATGGCATCATTATCAGGTTCTTAACAAAGTTGTCATGTTTGACCCAGCATATAATTCACTTTCCATCTCGTGAACACTGCCAACATCTGTTGCAACTGTGCTGAAGCACTGTTAAAACATCATATTGTCACAGCAGGTGTCAGAGAGACTTGGCTCTTCCAGCCCCTCTGTCACAGCACCTGTCCTTATGGCATAACAGTTGGTA